TTGGTGACTTTATTCCCTGTAAAAAGCAGTTTTCACATATAGAGCAGCTCCATGAAAATTTGAAAGCAATATGGCAAGTCCATTCTTTGACCACAAAGTGCTAGACCAAAAGGAGATGTAAAAATTGTGCCAATAAGAAGATAGTGTATTTTTTTTCCCAATATCCTATTTTTGTTACTCTAATTTTATCCTCTGTAAGTTTTATACATGTTCAGACGTGGAACAAAAGCACTGTCCTTCCTAAAAGCTGTATGGAATCCTTGAAAAAAACAAGCAGAGCATAAAACCTGTTTATCCATTTAAGAAATCTTGTGAAACTACTGTGTACGTAACTGACAATAAAAAGACTATATATATCCCAAAAATCTCAAAACCATCAGCATATTCCAAAGAAAGAAGATTAAAGATCAAACTCCTACTACTTAAATAACATTAATTCTTAAAACTTGTTGTGATTCCTTTCAGAATATGGAAACTGCAAGTCTTCTGTGTTTCAGAAAGCACTTTAGCATGAACTTAAAACAGCCAGTCAAGGAAACTTTGCATCGAGTTATGCTGGTTACAAAATATGCATTTCTGGGTTTTTTTATTTTCTTTCAGAATTACTGGCTGAAGCTCTATGCTAGAGAAGGCACTGGAGCATGAGCCAGTATAAAACAAAATCAAACTTTTGTGTAAAAATAAGCTATGTATAAAACCGCCAGTGCCACACATCTTGTGCCCAAAAGTCTGTCGTCTTCAGCTACTGTTCATTGTTAGAATAATAAAGCATCAAGATGATCCAGGTATCAGAGTCACATAGGTACACAAGAATTTAAAACAAATAAATCAAATTTCATTAAATTACAAGGAAATTTTATAAATATTTTATAAATATGAACTTCTACTTAAATAGAAGGTGAGAAGGAAGAATATTAAAAGACTAAAAGACTAAAAGATTAAAAAAAATCATGACTTTCAGGCCAAATCTGTGCTGTTTTCTGTATCAAATGAGTATATTGACATTATCTGTAGTAAAAACAATTTACTTAAACATATGTTGTGACCTGATCAAGTAAGTACAACAAAGAAAAATATGGCAAAATGGTAATTTAATGTATTCATTCTAGTAGGGTACATATGTACAGTTTCGTTTGTCATAGGTTATTAACCTTCTTCATCATCAATTTGTTAGAACTGACAAAAACAAGTTATATTTTTTAAAATTAATTAGTTTTAAGCTAATTTGCCCTTATGAAATCATTCTTACAATCCTACAATTCACCCATTTTGAATTGCCTACTACTTTGTATTATTAAGGTCAGTCCTGAGATTTAACTGAAAATATAGTTATCTTTTGGATGACATATGGCAAGATCTCCCAACTCTTCTTAGCTTTGGAAATTTACATCTGCCTGTTCATTCAAGATGCTAAGCATACATGTGTTGACAAATACAGAAAATAGCAGATGGCAAAAAGCAAATGCTCAACATGAAGCATTGGGGATCATTTAAAGAAAGCTTGGACTCAGACATTTGCTGTTTTTATTTTAATGGTGGAATTATGTTTAAAAATAAATTCCACTATCTATTATTCTTGATGCTAGTGAATATTCATGATAAGAATATTCATGACTACAGAATGAATGTCATATTAATTGCAAGTGGCATCCAAGATAAATGTTGCTTTATAAACTTTCAGATTTCAAGATAATTAGCACAGCATAATTCTTCAGGAGGTTAATTTCTGCTGCTACACATAAGCCAGAAAACTTTCTGTACTGACCATATCAGTTGTCATTAAAACTTTTGATAGGCAAAACACAGCTGTGCTCATCTGCTATTCCAGCTTCTAAACTGGAGTTACTCTGATAATCGACTACTACTACAGTACATAAAAACACCTGCATGTAAGCCTGTTCTCTGCCCGCTCCACTACTACTACTACTTCTACCACCACCATCTCCAACAACAGCTTTAGAAAACCAGAATGAGCACTCTGTCAGAGGTGTGAAGCTGCCAGGAGCTCTAAGCACAAGCTTCAGTTGGGGAGCAAGGGCGTTACTTCGTATGAATAAGGCACAATAGGAAGATGAAAGGTCCATCCAGTGCTGTGCTTCTTACTAACAGTGAACAGCGGATGCGTAGGGAATTGTATCAGGATAGGACAAACACAGAGTAATACCTCCCTTATGTACTCCACCAATATTCAGACAGCTCATGGATCTCTGAATTAGAGAATTTTTTGTGTTAACAGGCCATGGTAAACTTTTCTTTCGTGAAAGTCTAACAACTTTTTCAACCATGGAACCCCTTGGACTCGACATCACCTGTGGCAGTTTCTTTCATACTGTAACTATGTGCTATACAAACACCTTTTAGCAAAGGTATGTACTGGAGTCTCTCAGTCGCTCCTATAGCCCATGAGTTTTTAAGGTGCACAAAAATAATTGTTGTTTTATTACCATCATGCTTTTATAGACTTTAGACTGACTGTGCTAGATGCTGTATTAGTAACTAGACAAACAAGTAGAGTCTGTAACACCTCAGCTAAAAGCAAAAGATGAATAGAGACAGGACACATGGTAATGACAAAAGACAAGTAGCAGCAGATCCACCTTGGAGAAAACACCTACAAGTAAACATCAGTGTGGCTTTTTAGTCAGAAAGAGAGATGCATCACTGATAGCAAAAGACTTCTGAGTCAAACAGCAAAAGAAAAAAACAAACCCAAAACTTATCTTCATTTTCTCTAACATTTCTCACTGACTTTTCAAATAAAGAGCACTAACCATTTAGTTTGGAAATACACAAGTTCTAAAGAAAAGCTTGTATATTAAAATAATGCCTTCATCTTTTAAAATTACAGACAGTTATAGTTGTAAACAGACATCTGTAAACTCCAACAATTCTCACTTCATACACTTCAAAACGACGACAGAAAGTACAGTGCTATAACACAAAGGGTCAGTTTCATTTAAAAAACAATGAATACAGGAAAGGAACTACTTAGTTTCAGTTCTGTGGCAGAGAGCTCTGAACAATACTTTGCATATGATTTTAATACTATATAATTTAATACCATGCCATTATTACAAATAGATTCATAGTGAAATATATTAATTCCATTACAGTACTGAGTTTAAATTAGCCCCCTATCTGAACAGAAGAGGTATTTTACACTGCGGTCTCCCTATTGTTTTCATTAAGAACAAACAGATAATTAATAATATTTTATTCTCATTTTACTAGCAATTCAGTAAAACAAAAAACATTATGAGATCCAGGAAAACAACTATTTCTTTTAAGAGTGGAACTAAGAAGCTTGGTTTCCAAAGTGCTCTCTTACGTTAATTTTTCTAATGTTTAACAGTGATGACCAAAGGATTTATGCCCTATATCTGCATGCAAACATTTTGTAAAGTGTTGAAACTTAAGATGAAGCACACAGGTCAGTTTCAGCCACGGAAATAAGTTAGTAGGAGGCACTGAGAAGCAGCAGATGTACAGAAGGATTGCTTAGTGAACTCAACTAAAGAGTATCAAAACATGTAAATTTGGAACATATTTCATACTGGTGAAATGACCTTTAAAACAGTTTTCACTGAGGCTAGAAATAAAATAAAACAAAACAAAACAAAAACCCCAACCCCATCAATTTATTTTAACTCTAACAAAATTCAATCTCCCGTTGACTGGTATTCTCTTTACCTCACTTAAAAATCCCAAATCCCCCCAAAAATCTCAAAAAATGTTCATTCTGACATCTCCAACCAAGCAAGATTACCTGTGCACGTGCTCTCCGATGTCCTGCCAATACTGACAGTCTAGCTAGCAGTTACTTAAAGGAATATATAAGAACTGAGACTTCTGCTCATCTGCTCACCTTCTTCCTTCTCTATCAGGTTGCCAATTTTCAAGAAATTTAGAAATTTAGTTATCCTGGGATTTCTATTTCAATTTAGTTGAAAATGGTCAATAGTATCAAAAAAATATAACCCATTTTCCTCAGAAGGTCAGGCCAAAGTATCTTTTGAGAAAAAAAAAAAGAATTCAGGGGGCGTTTCGACGAATCACGTCGGGGTCACCAGATGTCGCGGACTGCCTGTGTCTTCTTCCGATGGGTCGCAACCAACCGACTGTTGCGACCACAAGGTATTCTCTCCAAACTCCAGGAGGGAAATGCCCCACTCCCTCTTGGGAGTGCCCCACCTTTAAACTCCCCATAGGTCACGTGGTCTCCGGCCAACCAACGTGACTCAGCACCTGTCTTGATGAGGCACAGGTGCTTCTCATGTAGCAGCCGGGAAACTTCCCCGACAGAATTATACTAAACAATCTGGTAAAGCTCTGAGATTCTTAAACATGTATACCAGGAGTACAGGAAAAATGAAGAGAATTCACAGAACATCAAGCCTTAATGCACGACCAAAAACACTTCACAAAAACACACCAGAAACCTTCAAATGAAGTCTAAATTGAGGAATATATTTTCCTCCCATAAATTTTCTACTCCGTTACTCCAGACTGTCAGGAAGAACTTATTTTTGCTCTTCGCATCTAAGTCTTTATATATTCAAGAATTGCATTCAGCACACTGTAACTGCACGCAAGATAGTAAATACCACAAGTATCAATTAGCCTGTTTCATGACTATGTGCTACAAATTATGACCTTTTTTGACTTGTATGCCTGATTATCCAGCACCTGATGAACAAGTATTTGGCTCAGTTCACTCATAAATGTTTAGCAAAGCTGGGAGACATATCAGTGTTTCGGAACCAGAACAACACAACTCATCTTCATGAAATACAACGGTAACTCAAACTCCAGATATTTATCTCAAACTTAAACCATCCTCAGTGAACTGATATTATAAACACACTCTGATTAAGCATACTTCTACAAAAAAGTAAAAACAAAACCTTGTTATTAATTAATTGCTTAATTAAAAGCAATTATTATCTTATTGCCTTACAAAATTTATTTTTGCATATCTTAAATAACAAAAACATACTTACTAATAAAGCAAGTTTTTGGTACTTCTGTTTTAGTTCTGCCGGACTGTCTGATGGCGTTGCACCCAAGATTTTGTACCAGTCCTTTTGTGTTATCCTTTCAAAGGCCATAGTCTGACTGGCTTTGAAATCACTTTCTTAGCACTGTGTAAGAAAATTAAATAAATATAATTACAATTTGAAAAAGAAACAGTTAGAAAAAGCAAAAATGAGAAAACATGAAAAGCTACAAGATCATGAAATAGATTGCAGCCCTCAAGCACCTCTACATAAGATCTATAGTGTAAAAACACAGCTTAATTCACATGGTTATTCCATCCCATAGATTATCATCTGTGAAGTGATTTATGCTGAGTTTCCTGTCCCAGTTCTTTAGAACTTATATACATACTTTAAAAAATATATACGTACTTTTAAAAATATACACTTTTTATTTTGAAGCAATACTGTACTTAATACATGAAAAAATAAAGTACATAAAAGTGTGAGATTTTGTCAATTCTGGAATGAGATACATGCAAGAAGACAAAAACGTATGGCTCGTGTTTTGCAAAATGATATTCACAGTACAGACCTTCCTTCATCCTTCTGGGTAAGAAGGTTTAACTTTTCTAATGTTAAAGTAGAAGAACATATAAAAACAAACAGAAATGAACAAAAGCATATAAAGTCCACACAGGTGTCCAAGTAAAACCTAACTAGCTGGTGCTTTTCGGTTTTGGCCACCTATCATCAAGCTAATAACCCAGAATGAAAAAACTTAACAGGAGAATTAAATGTCAGGAGAATTAACAGCACTTTAATGCTTCAGCTCCAAGTAGATTCTTAGGTAAATCAGAACCCTAAGCTTGCAGTAGCTGACTCAACATGAACTTTCTGACGAAAAATAACATTGTCTCCCAGTAGGGAAGAGTTTCACAGGTTCCTTAAGGTTCCTTCCTGTTGTCAATAGAAAAAAAAGGATTTTTTTTTTTTTTTCAATCTCAGTATTAAACCCAGTTTCTGGCGAGTACTGTCACACTTCAGAATGAATCCTTTTTTTTTCATGGGGAAAGGGGAAAGAAAAGTACGTTTTTCATCCTTCGCAGAGCTACAGCCGCAAAGAGGGTACACCCGACCGCAGCGTATTCCCCCCTCGCGCACACATGCCCGCCCCTCCCACTCCACACCTTTCTCCACGAAGACCCCTTTCTCCCTAGGGAGCCCACAAGGTGTTTTTTTTTTTTAAAACAGGCGAAAA